AAAAAGAAAAAAGGAAGAAGGTGGGAACCTGGGAGAGGCTGGCAATTGTCTTGCAGATGATTAGGATAAGGATGGAGGTGAGGAGGAAAATGGATTTGGTGAGGACGGAAATGGTTAGGTGAGTTGGGAGATAGCTGAAGAGATGGTAACGGAGTTAAGTGTAATTAACGGCAAAATAACGAAAATTGAAGGTGTAACGGAGTATGTGGTGTAGGAGTGTGCATGCATCATTATTCAATACAAAATTATTTGAAGTAGGGTATAAAGAGAATAAATCTCACTTCATTAAAGAAAAACTGTGAATAACATACTCATCATGTGAGCCATGACCCAAACAAGATTTCAGCTTGCGATTCAAGTGCTTCATATCCTTGTCTGTACGTAGGGAACTTAAATTTTAGAACCTGTTGATGGCAGAATAAATACAATGTTAATTAGTAGATCTATTTAATTATTTACATGAATGTATTAATATTATTTCAAACAAATTGCCATTCGATACCTACTCTTCCCATGCCTCTTAAGTAATTACAGCAAACATGAAAGGTGCATCAAACTCAAATCATGAAAGAGATGAATCATATGAGTTAGATTTATACCCAAGAATTTATAGCATTCAAAGATTCAGTAAGCACGGGAATGGTGTGGGTAGATCTTTGGCGAGTAAGAATGCACTTAAGGTAACTGCAAAGAATATGAGTTAACAATGTTACATCAAATTCATTTATCATGATGGCTAGGTGGAGTTTAAGATTTAGCAGGTAGGTACCTAATCTATTTCAGGAAAGACTTATGGATGAGACAAGGTATGTGTTTTGAAATTTAATCATATGGTGTTGTTCTTGGGGAGAACGTACTAAGTATTTTAACATTGTAAACGTTTGAGTACTCTTTATACTTACATATAGATAAAATTCTAATTGCCGATCTAAATAAAAATCCCCTGTATTATGCTTGTGTTTTTTTGACTATCTGTTTAATGTTTGATTGATTCAGTGCATTTAATTAGCATTTATGTTTCTGGTTTGGTTCTATATTGAGTCGGTTATATTCTCTCTTTTATAGGCATTGAGGAAGATTTGCTATTATGGTATCAAACAGTACCCGATAGAATGTATGAAAGTGGAGTCATAGCTTTTGTTAATGTGAGCTTCTTAGCTTGTATTACTTAATGACAATATTCAAATCTCAAGGAAAGAGGCCTACAGAAGTTGCAGCTAGTAAGTACCTATCCATCAAGGACGGTAGATTGGAAAGGGGTTCTGAGAAGATCCAAGGATAGGAGGGATGGATTTAGGAGGTTAAGAATTGTCTTTGTTGTTGCTATCTGCACCTTGTGGTTGTGGAGGAACAGAAGAGCATCGGTAAATGAAGCAATTAATGGTAATGCTCTTGTTCAGTTAATAATATAGTTTATTAATTTTTGTTATAGATGAGTTTATACTGTAATGCTGGGAATGCCCAGTTGAATACATGTAATTACCCTCCTCGGGGATTTTTGGAAATGAAAGAACTTGCACATTTTATAAAAATTATTCAAATTTTAGTAGAATATATGTAGTGAGAATAGTCATACATTTACTGCTTATACTTACTCAGTTTCTCCACAAGCTTAAAACAAAGAAAGAAGAATGGGAATTTACAACAAAAGACTGGAATTTAAAATATAGATCACTTAGCGACTTTCCTAATATCTATACCAGCAATAAAGAAAACAACTAAAGTCAGCGTTATCATGAAAAAGAAACGAATCCCATATGATAACCAATGTCGATGTTATTAACAACAATTGTATGAGTTGAATCATGAATAAAAAATTGGTAAATGGTCAGAAAGAAAAACGGGACTTCAGAAATAAAGGGTAAGGGAAGCACAGCAAAACAAATTATCTTTTCCCTTTTTTTTTTTCTTTTTTTTCTGTTATCTAAACAAAACCAAAACAACACCACTGATATACATAAACATATTATAACAGTTTCTTGGAAGATGAAAATGAAGTATGATATACAAATGACCTAAACTATCACTAGATTATCCCAAACCAGAGGGTGAAGAAAATCCCATCAGTTTGAACTAGCTAGGGATCAAACAATACAACCACAGCCAATAATAGCCGCAAAAGCAGGAAAAAGGGAAGAAGCACCCTGTTTCGATTGGGAACCCTAGGTAATTTGAGAGAGCCTCTGACGCAACGGGCTCCGGCGGCCATGAGTTCTGGTCGAGTGAGAGGAGAAGAGGACTTGGCGAAAGGGATTCCAGAGGTGAAGGGTCTTAACGGAAGAGGTGAAAAATCCTCTTTTCAGTCAAACACGGTCGTTTCATTGAGGTCGCCCTGCAATTATTTTTGCAGGTCGACCTGCTTTCCATAAAAACGACAAAGTGAGAAACTGGAGGAAGCCTAAAATAGTTCAATACGGTAAAACTGAGAGGTTGCGAATATAGAACCGGCAAGCCTACCTGCATGTATTAGGCAATAGTAAGAACATAAAGAAATGTTCAGAGGAACTTTTAAAATAGGCTCCGTTTAGTTTAGTTATTTGTGAATAATTATTAATTATTGATTATTTATTTGAGTGCATAAAAATAGTGATAGGTTTTTTTTATAAATGTCACAGATGAACTTTTAAAATAGGCTCCGTTTGAGTTTTTGCATTACTTAGTGTGTAGCAGTATTTTGATAGCCAACTCGGAAGTCAAATTATTTAGACCTTTGAGTTTTGGTTTGGTCATTTTAATTGGTTAAATTATTAAAATTATTAATTTAATTAAATATCAATAAATATAATATTTTTTTTAAACAGTAAAAAATATTATTTATTAACAAACGGAATACAAGGGGTACTCCAATCCATCAACTTGACAAATTGAAAGTTATACAATTGCTAACCTTTTCGTATGGTATCGACCCCTGAATTAGGTGTCAGCACCACGTCCGTGTCGGATAATTGGGTACAGGCAAAATAGTGTCGACACCAGATCCAGTGTGTCGGCACTGTACCGTGTCGAACTTTCTGCCTTCTGTTGCAAATCTTTATCAGACACAATACTGATCATGAAAAACAATTCAGTTATTGCCCCACTATCCCGCACATTCACTGAGCATGCCTTGACTACCGCATAGAACCCCAAAGACCATCAGTGCTTCAGGCATACAAACTCCTTCGCTCATTGCTCCACCTCCATTTCGGATGACTTTCTGTTAAGATACCTGATCCTTTAGCTAAGAACAATAGATAAGGATCACCTTAAGGCTGTCATGAATCCACCCCTAGCCCCCGTCCTGCAGCACTATTAGTTTCCTCCCCTTTTGTCTTTTAAACATTCCATAGGTTCCAACATCCAATTGCATAGATTAAAAGAGTACCCTACTGTTCTGTTTTTGATCCATTGGAATGTCCGCAGTTGCACCAGCTCAAAAATCCTATTGACATCTTGCTCATGGTTTCTGAAAGCCCTTTCGTTTCTAGCTATCCATATAGACCAGATTGTTGCACTCCAAACTGCATCCCAACCTGCCCTGATGTTTACATTTTTAAAAGAGGCTAATTGTTGTTCAAAAGATGCATAGCAATTGTCAGCTCTAACAGATGAAATTCTCCACCATTGAAAACATTTGGACCACATTGCATATGCAAAGTTGCAATGAAGAAATAGGTGATTTATATCTTCAACACTCTCATTGCATAACATGCATGTAGCTAGATGGAGATCTGGAACAATCCTTGTCTTGTACAGATTCACCTTAGAGGGTATTCTATCTTGTAGGACTTTCCAAACAAAGGCGCATATTTTTGTGGGGACTAGTCTGCACCAAATTCTTTTATGCAAGTTGATCCTACTCTATTGGTGGTTGCTGGAAAGAGCTTGATATCCCGATTTAGCTGAATAAATCCCATGATCATGCCTCCACTCCCATCTATCCTTTTGTCCCTTAATTGGTTGGATAGTCTGCAGCATCCTCCACAGCTCTGCCATCGAGTGTTCCTCCTAGGAGAAGTTAGGTCTCCTCCATTCTAATGACCAATTCCAGCTTCCATTGCTCCAGAATCCCATTTGAGAAATGCTCTTTGATTTGCCTAAAGAATTCAAAAAGAGTCTGGGAAATTTGTTAGCTAGTGACTCGTCCCCAATCCAGACATCCTCCCAAAATTTGACAGAATTACCCTCTCCCAACTTTAGTTTAAAGCCATCTAAAAGCCAGCCAACTCTACTTGTGCACGAATAATCTAATCTACAGACATCCCTCCACCATAACGACCCCTTCTGGTTGTTCTCTTCAATCCAGTTCAGCCAATTACCTCCACTACTACCATATTTCTCCCGAATAACCCTGTATAGAAGACCTTCCTCTCCCTCCGCCAGTCTACTCCACCACTTACCTAACAACGCTAAATTAAACTTCCTAAGATCCTTCACACCTAGCCCACCATCCAATTTACTTCTACATACATTTTCCCAACAAACCCAATTGATCTTCCTATTATTCGCTCCACCCCCCCAAAGAAAATTTCTACGTATTTTGTCAAGTAAAAGAATCAAACCTTTAGGCAGCAAGTGGACAGATACCGTAAACACAGGGAGGCTAGACAGCATGGAGTTAAGGAGCGTGATCCTTCCACCAAGAGAGATATATCTATTTTTCCAATAGGCAAGTTTCTTGTTAAAGGACTCAATCATGGGTCTCCACATGGCAATACATCTGCGTTTACCCCCAATTGGCATACCTAGGTATTTACAAGGTAATTTCCCCTATTTACAATTCAAAATACAGGACATCCTAGTCATCCACTCATCCGAAACATTGATGCCCATAAGCAAACTCTTTCCAAAGTTAATCTTAAGCCCAGAAACCATCTCAAAAATCCTCATAATACTTTTAACAGCCCAAATATTTTCTTCCGAAGCATTACCAAACACAATTGTGTCGTCAGCAAACTGGAGATGGGTTACATTCATGCCACACTGTCCAATTTCAATCCCATTAAACAACCCCAATGATGCAGCTGATGAGATGATGCCATTAAGACCTTCAGCCACAATCAAAAATAAGAAAGGGGAGAGAGGATCACCTTGTCTGAGCCCTCTTTGCATCTTAAACTGCCTGTTGGTGCTGCCATTTAGTAGTACTGAGACTTTTGCTGTCTTCAAACATTCATTAATCCAGTTTTTCCATTTTTGACCAAACCCCAATCTAAGCATCATATAATCCAGGAATTCCCAGCAGACTTTGTCATAAGCTTTTTTGAAGTCAGCTTTAAACACAAACCCTTTCTTCTTTCTTTTCTGGGCTTCATCAATAATCTCATTTGCGATGACCACACTGTCAACTAATTGCCTTCCACCAACGAAAGCCATTTGATTCTCCCCAATAATCCCATTCAAAACAGAAGACAACCTACGTGCTAACAATTTCACAATTAGTTTGTACATGACACCAACTAGGGAGATTGGTCTGAATTCTTCTATTTTTTGTGGGCTATTGACTTTCGGGATTAATACAATGAAGGAGCTGTTCATCCCTCTAACCAGTTTGCCATGCTTGTGAAAATCAGAAACATATCCCATTATGTCTTCCTTAAGTGTTCCCCACATCTCCTTGACAAATTTGAAGTTGAATCCATCAGGTCCTGGTGCATTCGTGCTCTCACAACTCCACACAGCTTGTCTAACTTCCTCCTCACTAAACGGTGCTTCCAACATCGCCCTCTCCTCATCTGAGATCTTCTTGAATTCAATCCCATCTAAGACTGGGCATTGCCACACATCTTCTTTAAATAGTGTCTCAAAATAGTTAGCCACACCATCTTTCATACTGTTGACTTCTTCAAGTCGTTGATTCCCCACCAGGATACTTGATATATCATTCTTTCTTCTTCTTCCTTTCACACATCTATGAAAAAATTTTGTATTGGCATCCCCCTCACTTATCCACGTCTTTCTAGCTTTTTGGCGCCACATACTTTCCTTCATCCTTTGATTTTTCCATAGCTCCAAGAAATTTGTCCTTCTGGCCTCAATATCTTCTGGCAATAGTGGCATCTCCTCACTTTTTTTTATCAATAGCGGCAATAGAATCAATGCTCTTTTGTATGCCCAAGTCAATCTCAGAGATCATATTCTTGCTCCACACTTTCAGCACCTTCTTAGTTTCCTTCAATTTCTCCTTCAGACGATACCCATTCCATCCATTTACTACTGTAGACTTCCAGGTATCAGTGACTATATCTTTAAACTGGGGTAGTTCCATCCATGCATCAAAGAACCGAAATGGTTTTGGGCCCCAGTCTGTAATTTGGTTTTTGAGTACAATTGGGCAGTGATAAGAGAGTGAACGGTTTAAGCCCCATTGTTTGACATTCTCCCAATTCAGACACCATTCTTCTGAGAGTAGAAATCTATCTAGCCTGCTCATCGAGGCTCCATTAGATTGATACCAGGTGAATTTTCTGCCAATTAATGGTAAATCAACAAGGCCACACTCATTAATAAATTCGTCAAACTCTGGCATTTCTCTCCTTATACTCATCCCACCCTTCCTTTCCTGTTCATTTCTTACTGCATTGAAATCCCCCATTAGACACCAGTTCCCACCGATTTCAGTAATAAGGTTTTTGAGAGATGCCCACAATGCTCTTTTACTAGGAAGGTCACAAGGGGAATAAATGTTGATGATATAAACAGGGGTTCTAGCTGCCCCCCAAAATCCAAAAACCCCAATAAAATTATCCCCTTCAATAATCCTATCTTTCTTCGATAATTGAGAATTCCAAACACATATCAAGCCTCCAGCCGTACCTTTTGAGGGTTGAGCAACCCATTCAAAGTCCTCCGATCCCCAAAGAGCTCTACAGAGTTGATGATCCACCACCTCTGTTTTTTATTCTTGTATTGATAAGAACTCCACCTTTTCCCGAACCACTAGTTCTCTAACCCCTTTTCTCTTCCCTTGACCACGCACACCTCTTATATTAATTGACATAATGATCTTTTAAAACACCACAATTGTTTCCCCCAGTATCGGCCTCACTAGCCTTTGATCTTCTATAATTTTCTCTGTCACGTTCCTCCATGGTCTCGAGCCTTTGCAGAATTTCTTCCTCATTTCCGCAATCCACAACCCCAATTTCTTTGGCAAACCCCCAGATCTTCATTTCCTTGCTGATTTTACCCTCCATCCGCAAGCACTTGTTTCTGTTTTCAATGCCATTATCTGCTATTGAGTCACCCGCTGCCTGATTTTGTGAGCCTGGACAGAACGACCACTACTGCAGGAATCGGATATTCAGACCGAAATATCGGTCTGGATATATTACAAATCGGTCTGAATATATATATCCGGACCGATCTTGGTCCCTATAGTTGATCTGAAAAAACCTAGTACGAAAAAATATAATATACAGACTGACATGAAATCGGTCCGTATATATATAATATACAGATCGAAATCGGTCCATATATTTCAGTAAGAAATATAAATGGTTATTTAAAAATTGAAATAAGCGGACCGAAATTGGTCCCAAAAAAATAATATAATAAAATAATAAAATATGTTCAAACCGAAAACGGTCTGAAAATGTGGGGGAAAGAGGCAAAGCAAATATATATGGACCGGGATCGGTCCAAATATAGAGGACCCAGCAGAAACTTTTAAAACTTGCAACTATATCCAGACCGTTTTTGGTCCGAATATTGTAGACTTGCTTGTAACTTTTAAAAGTTCCATCTCCAACCAGCGCCATTCTCAAACTATATCCAGACCGTTTTCGGTCCGAATATTGTGGACTTGCTTGTAACTTTTAAAAGTTCCATCTCCAACTGGCTCCATTCTCAAACTATATCCAGACCGTTTTTGGTCCGAATATTATGGACTTGCTTGTAACTTTTAAAAGTTCCATCTCCAACTGGCGCCATTCTCAAACTATATCCAGACCGTTTTCGGTCCGAATATTGTGGACTTCCTTGTAACTTTTAAAAGTTTCAGCTCCAACCGGTGCCATTCTCAAACTATATCCAGACCGTTTTCGGTCCGTAAATATCTTTAAGAAAAAAAAACAATAAAAAATAAATGCATTTATAAAAAATAAAATATGATTATAATAATTACTTAAAATA